CTTAAAACCAAGCATGGAAGATCTGCAGGAGAAGAGTTTAAATGTTAGCTCTGCCAAATACAGAGACTTGGAGACACCTTGTGAAAACAAATACTATACATCATCCCAGCTTCCCAAAGATTTACAGGTTCTGGCCCTCAACAGAGCCTCAGTGAGTCTTGAAGGAATTAAATAATACAAGATATTGTTTAGGCACAGGAAATGCCAAATAAATTAAGTCATGATCTTATGCACAGGAAAGGGACTATACAAGGCCAAGGAGAGAACTTTTCAGCTTGAGTGAAAAGATCAGATCTTTCATGCTCAATATCTGTAAAATTTCTTACCACTGGCTAATCTCTCTTTTGAAACTTACTTTCTTGGATTCCAGGATACTCCATTCTAATTTTTCCCATCTTTAGTCTCAGACTAGGCTCTTCTCATTTTATCTAATTCTGTTATCTTTCTCTTCACCCTAAAGTAGGTGTCCCCCAATGTTTAATCTTAGACCCTTTCTCAGCTTCATAATTTTGTAAATTCTCTCTGGCTGTATGTCTACAATCATTTCTCTGTGTTTGATATTCAAATCTGCCTGCCTATCTAGCCATGAGCTCCAGACTAATACCTTCAATTATCTCCAGGGAGACAGCTCATTAACCACTCAAGTTTTAACTAAAACCAAAATTTAACTTATTAACAAAACATGTTGTTCCTCTTGTATTCCTTATACTGATTAATATCAGACCACTTGGTCCACTGTCAACTTAAGCTATGTGTAGAAATGAAAAAGCAGAGGTGAACTTTGTTATTATTTTGTTCATTGCCACCTTTCCAAGGATAAATAAGACCATTTTCCGTGTATTTTAATCCTCTATTAGGCTAATCAACTGTTCTTTGATACAATACCAATTTTTATAAAAATGGTAATCACGCCATGTGATCCATTTCTATAAGAATGTTTTGCAAGCTTTAGTGTGCACAGGAATTTCAATAATACCAGTGATTAATATTTATTGGATGCACTATTATAAGATCTTCCCACAATTATTTCATTTAAGCATCACAAAGATAAAGTCATTCTCATGTAAGCATATTAAAAATAGAAATTTTGATATAGTAAGTCTGGTTTGAGACCCAAGGGTCTATATTTTTAACAAATATTCAAATGTTTTTGATACATTTAGGGCATTAGATTCACTATTTTATAGAGTATCTCTTTAATATGCCAGTAAGTTTTAGTTCCTGACATCATTGTGTTAATTCATGACTCATCTCTCTCTCTAAATATGTTACTTTCTATTTTTCTTTACAACTGCAATCTTTCCCCTCTGTGAAAATTCTGTACTCTGTCATTAGCAAGTTTTTTCAGGCCCCTCAGTTCACTAGAATAGAATTGCTTTGGCTACGCATAGTTGTACTATCTCAAATATATTCAAATAGTTGAGCTATATTACGATGGATAATGCAACACTGTCCATATATTCCTATTTATTTTAAAACTCTGGCCTTTTAATTTAAAATACATCTGATAAGTGATATTGGTTATATTATAATTAGATTATAATGTTCTCAATTCCAAGAAAATTCCTTCTAATAATTCTAAACACAGAGGCAACCAATTTTAAACAAGCAGAGATGCACTAAGTTAAATAAAATTAAAATAAACAACCCCAAAATACTGGTAGCTTAATATATTAATAGTCTATTTCTCCTTCTTGTGTCATAGTTAATAGACATATACATGGCACGTGTTCGTTTACAGCATGTTGGGGAAGAGGTGTGATGCTGATCTGCTTCACATCATCATTTCCAGCGGTTCAGCCATCTTCTAGGAGTCTCTTAGTGTATGCGTAACATTCCTTTAAATGATTCCCTAAAAGCCTCAGATTCTACTTCCATTGTATACAAACTATTAAGATTGTGTTTTCCTGAAAAAGAAATCACTGAATCTAAATAAACTGGAAAATCTTTAATAGAAAAACCTTTTTATAATTGTAATTTTCCAGCATGCAAATATGGTAAACATAGGCAGCAATGTATAAAACTATAGTTTAAATTTTAATAGTAATTCACCTTTAAGGGATAAAAGAAGGTTACAGTCTATAGCTCAAAAACTTGCACACCTTGCAGGAAAGGAACAAAACTTTATTTCACCATATTACAGAGACTAAAAATAACTAGCCATATAAAATATTATCAGTTATTAATACCTCAAATGTTCATGTCCTATCTTGGTAAATCCTATGAAGCTAGTAAAGTCTGATACACTAATGTGAATGTCCAGATAGCACAGCAATACTTTAACTCACAGTGTCCATTTAATGTGAACTATGATTCTAGGGTACAAAAGACCAATTAAAGATGAGTTGGGAAGTATTTTTCCAGCCTCATGAATGAGAACAGACCCAGTGCACATTACCATTTGGTTCCTAAAGCTTATCTAAATAGTCCGACCTACCAGAGAACTTATAAAATAAATGCAGCTCTTGTGACTCAATTCATAGAAAACTATTCCTATATGAGGGCTCAACATTTCCCACTGACTTTTGTCTTTTTATAGTAGTTATTTCAAATAGCTTTTTCCTTACTCTAGTAAATAATCTGAAATTTAAGAGAAACTGAATTTGGCAAGCTAGGCCAAATTAATCGGAAGAGAGTTGATCATAATGAAATGGGATGATTCCAAATAGTATCTGAATTCTGTTTCACTTGCCTACTAGCATTCCTGGCTCTTGAAGAAGATATTAAAAGGAGCCACTCCAGGGGTATCTGGGTGGCTCAGTCGGTTAAGCATCAGTTCTTTGATATTATCTCAGGTCATGATCTCAGGGTTGTGAGATGGCACCCCGAGTCAGACTCCATGCTGGATGTAAAGCCTGCTTAAGATTGTCTCTCCTCCTCCCTCTGCCTCTTCCCCTCCTTGGTGCTCTATCACTCTCTAAAGCTAAAAAAAAAAACGAGAGAGAGAGAGAGACACTCCAGGCAAATACACATGTAACAAACAGGATGTTAAAACACAAGTCTTTCTGCTTCAATTAAGACAAAAAATATGATACACATCAATAAAAATGAGTACAAGACAGATGACCATATGCAGAATTTACAAAGAAAATGTCAATATTAACAATTCTTGGATTCCTCAAGCAAATCAGAGATAATAAAGAGGGTCAAGGTACAGAGAGAGTGGGGTTTTTTTAAGAGACTCATTGATGGAAATCCCCAGCCTCCCCCAAAAGAAATGGGGTAAGTATGGAAGTGTGAAATCTTCCATCTAAAACCTTAGAATGGGCATTTCCATTGCAGTATTCCCAGATCCTAGAATGTCAATTCCCTAAGGTAGAAGATACAGTGAATGCTTCAGAATTTTAAAGTGGCTGTGGCAGCAGAATAAATGTATCTGTGCTGGGACTGCCAGGTCTAAGATGGTGAGCCATGCCAAAAAGAGAAAAAGCAAGGTTAAAATATTATTATTTATAGTGATATATTACATAATGAATTAACACTGTATTTGTAACTTAGAAGGACTAAAACTGTAAGATTGTTATCAGAGAGGAACAAGAAATGTCTTGGACCTGTGAAAATTGCATCAAGGGTAAGGGTAAGAACACTGTCTCTCTGAGTAAGTTTTCATGGCCACAGAACATAGAAATAAATTGTGCTTTGATTACAAATAAATTACATATGTGAAACATCCAAATGAACCAATATTTATGATTAAAAAGGACTTGTCCCCAAATGACTTTGGGGGACCCCAGCTTTGACAAGTGGACTAAGTCATAAGGTCTAGTTAGTCATAGATCATCTTGTTTACAACAGGCCAGCCAAAGAAGCCAAGTCCCTAAGGTTACAGTTGTTCTTTGGTCATCAGTATTTCATCTTACTCATGGTGGTAACACATCAAGGAGAAAACCAGTTTCTCCTAAAAGCAGAAAGCATTTGACTAAAACTTTTAAACCCAGAGCAAGTAAGAATCAGCCATAAGGTCGTCTTATCAAAATAATTAGGAAATAATATTCCAAAAGTATACATCATAGGACAACCAAAGGACCACCGAATGGATAAAATATATTTGCATTCAAATATTCCTACCGTGTCTGGGTCTGATGCTTGTTCCATTTCTTTAAATTGTGTTTGTTTGTTTTGCCTTTTAATGAGCCTTCTATTTTTTTCTTGATAGCCAGATATGAGGTATTGGGTAAAAGAGACTGCTGTAAAAAGGCCTTCATAATATGGTGGTGAGGGAAAGCATTTTTTAGTCCTTTGATTAGGTCTCAGTCTTTTAATGAGCCTATGCCTCTGCACAGTAAATTTCACAAATGTTGCTTCCGTTTTTGTTTTTTTGTTTTTTTTTTCTCTCTCCCCACTTAGGTGGTGGAGGATAGCTAGAGGATTCTGGAGTTAGGTATTTCCCTTCCCCCAGGTCAACTAGTCTCTGATAATACCCCAGCAAGTTAGACTCCCATTAAACTAGTTTCTCCTGAAGGCACACCTTCTTAAGAAGAGCAGAATGCTCGGAGTATTTCAAAATGTTTCCTTTGCCCCTCCCCCTGCAGGAAGCCTGACGGATTTATTCTCCCATATTTACTGTAGAAATCTGGTAATGTTTCTGGAGGTAAATCTCACATATTGTGGGCCCCCTGCCTATGACTGGGGCCTCTATGGTTTTTAACACTCAGAATTGTCCATCCTGAACCTCTAGCAATTTGTCAGTTATAGTTCAGGTTTTCCTACCCTGGCACTGGTTCCCCGGTTTCTATTCTATGGAACTTTATGCCCTGTTTTTGCTTGACTCTGCAATCTTGGGGACAGTAGTTTGTCCTGTGTTTCCCCGCCCCCCGACCTATAGATCCCAGAATTGTTGATTTTTTAGTCTATTCTGCTTTTTACTTGTTAAGACAGAGTGGCAACTTCCAAGCTCCTTATATGCAAACCAGAGACTGGAAGCCTTAAATAGATTTTAATCTCTTCCAGCATTATACAAGAAAACGTAACCCCTAATACTCTTAATCAATAGCATCCTTGTGCTTACTTCGGCAGCACATATACTAAAATTGGAAAGATACAGAGAAGATTAGCATGGCCCCTGAGCAAGGATGACAGGCAAACTCGTGAGGCATTCCATATTAAAAAAAAAAAAAAAAAAGTAACCTTGACTTTGACCTTTTAGCACTCTTCTCAAAGGTTACAGTGAGAGTGAGGCAGGATGAATGCCTCTAAAATGCATTTAAAAGACCTGTCCTCTAAACCATAACTTAGCTGAAGAGAGAGGGCTTGAATGAAAGAAGATATTAACAGTTTTCTTCATTTTACTACATTGATTAAACAGCAACTAATTCAGTATTGCTATAATCAGGTTCATGGTACAAGTTCAAAAGAGCTCAAAAACTGAAATTAAAAATGAGCATATTGATCCTTATCACATAACTTTCAACCAAAGGCTTCTATCTTCACCATATATATAAATTCTTATTTCAAGAACACAAGGGGCTCTTAGTTTTAGTTATTTTCTAGTACCTGGTCCAATGTTCAAAAAGCATTTAGTTTAGAAAACCATGGTTTTGAACCCAAGTCACCATGGCCATGAACATCACAGTATTCTTAAAATTCTGAGGACATCCTCCTAATCATTCTGAACAGAGACAACTCCAAGCAAGCAAGAAGCATTGCTTATTAACTAAAGCATGCAAGGAGAACAGATAACTACTGTCATTGGAGTGTATATATATATATATATATATAATATTTCTCAGAGCCAGAGATTCACTGCACTGTGACATAATGTCAAATACATTTGGAATTCTTCCCACCCTCACAAAATTAGAAAGTTAGTCACTTCTTAGTAAACATTATACTATCAGATAAAATGGGAGTAATAATACATTCAGTGTGTGATAGATTATTACAGGTAACCTCAGTGCCTGAGACAAAAGAAAATAAAGGTCACGGACACAGAGGAATTTCATAGCAAGATAAAATTATTGTTGGCTTAGTTGCTGTCATCCTTTAGGCTGATAAGACAATGTCCTCTCATTAGTTTTGGGCTCATAAATAGCCTATAAGGATTTCTGCTCTACAAGTATCTTCTTTACTCACCTGAGAACTCTTCAGAATTAGACGTTTAAGAATCCACAGTTTTGGCTTTAAGACAGTGATACTTAGCCAAGTCAGTACATTAGAGTCACCTGGGAGCTTTTAAACCTAAAGATTCTTTAAGCTACAACCTCAGAGTTTCTGATTTAATTGGTTTGGGATAGAGCCCAAACAAGATTTTTTTTTTTTTTTTAAGTAACAAAAGACTTAAAATGGGGCTGATTTGGGCAGATGCAGTCCTTATGTAGGAAGGTGAAACTGTATCTGGTGTTATGTATGTTAGAGTAAATAGAACACGAAATACATAGACACACTGTAGACAAATAGAAGAGAAAGGAACAAAAAGACAAGGTAAAAATTTAAACTGCTAAGTGCAATATTTTGCCTAGAACCAATTCTTGCTCATCATCATAGCTTTTAATGGGAGTGCAAAAGCCTGAAGAAGAGTAGATGGACTTGGAAAAGTTTGGCACAAGGTGAATTTTAGGAAACTTGTCCTGAAAGTCTATTTATCATGGTTGACTTCTTTCTGAGGAGTAGGACAAAAATGTTTGACAAGCATTGTCTTCACCATAGTCCTTAGCTCAGCAGGTATTTTTTCCTACTTCGGATGGAGGAAATTTTCACAGAGACAATAAATGACCCTACAAAGGTCACCCAACATTTTCTGTCACTCCAACTGGGAAAATAATAAGTTAAACTTAAGAAATGCCTTCTTTTCAAAGAGAACTAAATACACATTTCCAGGTGGAGAAGGTGACAAGAATCATCATCCTCTCTTAGGTCAATTTACCACTTACATCTACAGATTTAACAAAATGCAAAAGAGTTTATGGCAGACCCCACTTCCACGCCTTAATCTCAAAAGCGATGGCACTAGTAAATAAGATTTAAAACCTTCTCAGAGTGCAATAAATGTTTGTGGAGTAAAGATTTATCTTAAATACATAGCACAGCTAAATTGCTTCCACAACAAAAGGAACATAGTGGCTTTCTAAAATATTACAACTGGTTTTGTTCAAAAAACAGGACGATTTAAAGAGATATGTTTAAAATAAAAGCTTTTTTTAACCCAAAAGCAAACCTTTACTCCTCTGTAACTTATTTTATTAAGATACCAATAACATATAATGTTCTTTGTGATTTTTAAGTAGGATTTCTTCACTTTTAGAGTCTATTAGTGTTGTCTGAGCACTTAAAACAAAGTAATCAGGTGTGTTTTATGGCATTAACACCAATATCAGATTATTATGGCAACATGTTACAAATTAAATAGCTGATACAAACATTTCATTTAATTTTTCTTTTTTAACAGAAATGAGATTTTGGAGTTAAATTATTTAGCAACCAAATGGAAAATAAGCAAAAATGTAAGACTGCATTACCTCTAGATGATGTTGTTAGCAACCAAGACTAATGGCTGGGACATACAAATTACTGCCCCAAGGTGAGCTGCGAGCCCATCTGATCCTCCCTATTCGATTTCTTGAAGCGATTCTAACTGCTAATTAACCGTGAAAAGTTGTGCTGTGAACCTTTCACCTGACATTCTTCTGAAACAGTTCCTAAGGAGTGCTCACAGCAATGTATATATAATCAATTGCCATTTCAGCAGTGACCTGCTGTCCTGCAGAACAGAGCCTCAAACTGTGATTGTTCAGCTCTTGGGGAGGAAACTTTCTTTTTACTTTTTATTGGCTAATACACACAAACATATCTACTGGACTATTTTGAATCATTTGGTTTACTTCTCTCATAAATCTTTGCTCCTTAGATGATCAGACCCAGGAGGAGGGCAAATCTGACTCCTACCTTATATGCAGACAGTGCTGGAGGTGGTCTATCTGAGCATGCAGAGCCCAGGCTCGAGTCAAGATTTCTTGCTGTTGTTTCTGGCTTCACCAATTAGAAAACTGGTTTTCAGCCTTGAGTGCATATAGGAATCACTTGGGGAACTTTAAAAAATGCTGATGTCTGGTCCCACCCCCAGAGATTTTGATTTAATTGGTCTGGGGTGAAGCTTGGGCACTGGAGAGTTTTTAAGCTCCCCCAGGTGGTTCTAACATGCAGCCAAGGCCGAGAACAACTGACTCAGGAGGATCTAATTAGATCTGATTATGACCTTCTAAGATACTTTTAAGACTAGTCCCTCAGGCCCTGGTTGCTTCAGAAACCACAAGAAGCCTAAGACTCTAAGCCCCTCTGAACCATGATCCCTATAACACATTTCCATAAAACCCCTCATCTAATACATTTCCCAAATCCTCTCTCATATCCACATGCTTTTCCATTTTGCCCTGGAAAGAACACAGTCTGTCATCAGTAAAATTACCTGACTCAGTAACTACAATTTGTTATTACCAATTACTATACTCTGGAATATCTGTTTCTGATATCCCACTCTCCACCACTAAGATATTGTTGGATGTTCTGTATCCCAATTTCAACAATCCCTTGCCTTACTGGGATCCCTAATCTACTGATATTTCTTTTTCTCCATCATCTCTTTCAAAATTAAGAAAAAAAAATCCTTATCCTATTTAGATTCCATGATCTATCATACTTTATCTTTCCACCTGGCGGACTAACTTGGCAAGATCCCAACTCTGGTTAACTTCTAATCCTCACCTCTTACTACCTTTACCTAAGCAGCTGAACATTGCTAAAGAAAATTTCAGAGCCATGCTGGTCTCAAGTACATGACCATAGACCTCAAGGGGAGAGGTAATGTTGCCTGAAATTCCATGAAAGTGCCATAGTAAAATTATTCTCCCATTCTCCTAGATGACAGATCACCTTTCTCTGATAACATTCAAAACCACATCTACTCCCCCACCCAACTCTCACCTAATGTCTTTCCTCTTGATTCTATAGGGAAAACAGGAACTATACAACGCAGAGTACTAACCACTATACGATCATGGCAAGCTACCGGGACGCCACAAAACAGGAACTACAAAGATCAATTCTTTATCCTCCCACCATCTTATCAAGGTCAGCAATGACCTCCACAATGCAAATCCAAATGTCAGTACTCAGTTTTCCTAGGACTCCACCTCTTAATTACTTCCCTCTTCCTGAAACAGTTAATGCTCTCTTTATTTGGCCTCTACAAAAACACCTTTCCTCTCTCTCAGTTCCTACTATCTCAATGGCTGTAACTTTTCAGTATCTTGTTGGATTTTCCTCACCTTCTGCAGACCTCTTTTCTGTATCTACACACTTTGGCATGTAATTTTATCCAATCCCATGTCTTTAAGTGTGATCTCTTCCCTGAACCCCCCTCTGTTTCCAATTGCTTACTTATAACATATCTTAAATATCTAACAATTCCCATACTTAACACACTGTAAACAAAAGTATTGATCTAATTATACTCCAAAATATGCTCTTTCCCTAAACTTAGTAAGATGGAACTCCCATTTTTCCCAATGTCCAGATCAAAAAATTGGACTTCCCCTTATTCTCTATATTCAAAATAAACCTAGCACCCAACCACTTTTCATATTATCCAACATTATCAACCTAGTCTCTTGCCATACTATTGAGATTCTTCTTAGCAGGCTACCTATTTCCACCTTTGTTCCAATAAGGACAATGAGAGTGCTATTTTTCAAAAGTAAATCAGAACATGTCACTACTCTTCTCAAAATCCTCCAGTGGCTTCCACCCCATTCAGAATTATCCCATTCAGAATCTTCACCTACAGAGATCTGACATAATTAAGTCCCCTCCTGTGACTTACTAATGCTCTGTCCCGTCTTTGACTTGTTTCCTATCACTCTCACCCACAGTCATACCTTTACAACCAGACTGTTCTTCACATCCCAAGCAAACTACTACTTCAGGACTTTTTTTTTTTTTTTTCCAATTTATTTTGTTCTCTCTTACTAGAATACTCTTTCCTCAAATATCATCCTGGCTGCCTTGCTCTTTTCATTCAGGCTGAGATGCCACATAAGCAAAGAGGCCTTCCTCAATTATACTATGCAAAGAAATCCCAAGATCTATATCCTTACTCTGCTTTATTTACATTGT